GCAAAATTGTATCAGTTTATGGAGAGGACGTAATGTCAAGATAACATGTGACAAATTGGGTATGGAATATATTGTGAGACCATGAAGAAACTTCTCTAAGCCATCCAAAACAATGTCGTGAGATGCTGACGGCGGGAGTTTGTCTCCTTCATGACAATGCGCGTCCACACACCGCTCATGCAACACAAGAGTTGTTGACTTCATTTGGTTGGGATGTTTTAAACCACCCATCTCACAGCCCCAATCTTGCACCCAGTCACTATCATCTATTCACTAAATTGAAGGAACATCTTGGTGGAAAACACTTTTCTGACAACGAGGAGGTGGAAATTGAAGTGACGAACTGGCTGAAAAAGATGGAGGGAAACTTCTATGACTCAGTCAACAAAAATTCATCTCACGGATGACAAAATGTATTGAACTAAATTGTGATTATGTGGAAAATAATGTAATACCTCTGCTACAATCCATGTAAGTTTTATTAAAATATATTCATTCTTTGTATTTTAAAAAAAATGCAATCTTACTTTCCGGGTAACTCTCGTATTTAGCTTTGGATGGCATAGGGAAGGATTAACATCCCTGTGGTGTTTGTTTTGGTGTCTGTGCCCCTGTTCAGAAGATTTCACCTCACTTTCTGTCCTTGTAATTGGATTTTGAAAAAAATTGGCTCGTTGTGGAAAAAAGGATTACTAATAAATCTTCAATTGATACAACTTTCCTTGTGATAACTCTTTCAGGGGTGGATTTCTCTCACTTCCTGTTGTCTCACCCCGTTTCTTAACTAGGAGTCGTTCATAAGTCAGATGTATGTAACTCAAGGACTGTGTCTAGTTTGCTATCCAAGCTGATTTGTAGCTTCCTATCTTCAGTCTCATTCCCATAAGCATCACCCTACTGGAATCTAGTTCAGTTGACAACTAGTCCGAATCATCCACAAGTCATCTAATATAAAATGCTTTCTGACAGCAAAATTCTATACTTGTCTATTCAGAATCAGTAGGATTTACTCTCTAGGAAGACAGCTGTAGAACTGTAGCAGAAAACAATGCTTTTGTTTAGCTTATGCTTCCTTTTTTTTGTATGGCGTCAGCCGTTGCCTTCAAAAGGAATAGTCAATCTCTCTTTAGGTACGGATTATCATTCTTTATGACCTTTCTGATATGGCTGTGTTTGTAATAACATGCATAGTCTATAAAAGTAGAATAGGGAGAGAATTCATATTGGAGATGTTGATTATGATCATCCTTCTTCTGGAACAGAAAATGATATTTTCAATGGATAAGATTTGCCACTTCCAATTGCACACTGCATGAGAAAGGCCACAAGAGCCTTAGTTTATTTAAAATTGAAGCAGATTAAAAGCATAGCTGTGCTTTGGGTGTGGCTTATGCCTGTGCAGAAACTAGTGCTGCACAGGGTGAAGCATATTAGATTTGTCAGTGCACAAATAAATACACAGGAAGGAGTGGTGACAGTGTCTAACTCACCAGGTTTGTTTCCAGGGTTGATTGCTCTCACATTTCTTGTGTTCAGCAACCATCATTCTGTCCCCTCTGCTTGCTTTTTTAAATGCCATATTCCATTAGGCTTTGTTGATTCCTCGCCTGTCATGTTGCTATGACACAGCCATATAAAGCACCATTTGTTTCCCTAGGATGCCCTACATATCTCAAATGGACTATATAAATTCAGTTCTTTAATCCCAGGGAAAGCACTAATCTCAGCTAGGAAAACTAGGTCTTCATCATTCTGAGTGCTAATTCTATGGGTGAGCCAGTTCTGTAAAGATGCTTTTCTATGTTGGAGGCATTCTGGCAAGATTATTTGTGATATTGCCTTCCTTTTGGGAAAATAATGGTTAATTTATTTTGAACAATGATTGTTTACGATTCTCTCTTGCATGATAATCTTATTGAGGGGCTGCTTAAAAATGCACATATCCATCTTTGGCACTGTTTATTCATAGAATCACAGTGTTGAAAGGGACTGCAAGAACCATTTAGTCCAATTCCATGCCATGCAGTAGTACAGAACTTAATAATAATAATTTATTATTATTATTAGTTTGGGTTGCTGTAAGTTTTCCGAGCTGTATGGCCATGTTCCAGAAGCATTCTCTCCTGAAGTTTCACCCACATGTATAGCAGGCATCCTCAGAGGTTGTTGGGTCAGTTAGAGGCTACACAAGTAAAGTTTATATATCTGTTCAGTGGCTTCTCTGTGTAGTCTCACATGGTGGTTGTTAAGGACCACCAAATGTAGCATTGCCCAAACACAAATCAAGGAACATGAAAGGCACTGCAGACTGATCCAACCAGAGAAGTCAGCCATAACGGAGCTGTAAATGAAACTGAATTCTAATGTTTACTTTTTCCTGCTCAGAGGAAGGAGCATGCTGCAAGCCTAGGCCTTTGTATTCCTTTCTGTTTATACAAATGTCACTTAACCACGAGAGAGGAATGTTTGGCCAATGAGCTACAGGTAGCCTTATTTTATTTTTTTTAACAAAACTTTACTAATATATTTTGCTTGGAAAGACCCTCTAAGAGATGTTGGGGGGAAATCACCACATTGGGGAAGGGGAGTTGTGGATGGTCTTTCACTAAAGCAATGGCACTGAAGGCTCTGGAAAGCATGCATGCAAGCTGAAAATAGCACTAGATTAGAAACTAAATGCTAAAAGGGAAGCCATTATTTTTGGAAGCAATCAATTTTCCTGAGCAATTACAGGCGAGGGAGCTGCAGAGATTTTGCTTTTCCTTAATAGCAAAGACCTCACTAGACAACAAGACAGGAAAAAAATGTGTACTACTCTTCCTCAGACATCAGCAACCCCATTCTGGCCAGTCATCTCTATGTCTGGGTTTTGGAGTCTACCAGCAGCCATAGAGTGCCAAACATCCCTGAACAATGCTTCTTTTTCTGCTTTGAGTTTTAGAAAAATTGTAGCACTTAAGGAACATAGTACAGTCAGTCCTCCGCATTTGTGGAGTTGATTAGAAGTTGACCATTATATTACCTCAGCAATATCTACCTCACATTTCCTCTTATGATCACCACAACATGGACACATTCTTGTCCATATCCATTCATGGCACTTTCTTCTTGACTGAAGTTCTTTGCTGATATTATCCTAGATCTGTGCATGCTACAATTATTCTCCTCTTCCTTCTAAACTCATAATTGCTGCCATTGAACTAGTACTGACATATGCTTGGCCATGCCCAACTGTATTATTAGGAGGTGGCCTAGCAATGAAAGCCAGTCTCACCATTTCTACAACAACGTGAGAGTGAATAGCTCAAGAAGCATATGTTATGACCAAGACTATCCAGGCTGGCTTAGTATTGTAGGGGTTGTCTACACAGGTAAAAAACCAGAACATGCATTTACCCCTATTATGGTGCTGAATTACAGTTTCATTACTGAAACAACATTTATTGATGCTGTTTAATGAGCTTTTATTGGTGCTTTATGTTATTGCTTTATAGAGTTGAATGTTTGATACTATTTATTTGTTTTGCTTAATTTATGGCATTGAATATTTGGGTTTTTTTATGATGTAAGCCATCTTGAGTTCCCACAGGGAGATGAAATAAGATATAAATAAAGTTTTGTGTTGTTGTTATTGACCATAGAATCATGCTGGAGGACCTACAAATTCTTAGAAGTAACACCTCTTTAGGAATCTCTAGTGCACCTATCTGTGATCAGTTTCTGGTAGATGTTGACTGGAGTTGTGCTGGAAGATCTAGACAATCCTAGAGAGATATTCTCTCCAGTAAATTGCGACTTTTTTAATTAACATTTTGTCCACTCTTTTAGTGGTTGTGCATCCCCAAACCCAGCAAATGTGGAGAGCTGACTATATAGTGAAAGATGTATAATACAATGTCCTTTGATGCTTCTTGGCAGGGGGTTGGACTGGATGGCCCATGAGATCTCTTCCAACTCTATGATTCTATGGTTCGTGTTAGGAACTGTCCATCTGGAAGCACCAAAGCCTTATCTGGCAAACAAATCTGGATTATATAATACAACCTTGAATATTCCAGAATCCTATTTTTCTTTAGCATTTTTGCCTGATAGAGTCAAAGATTTTTGGCCCGCTGATGATTGGGTTCGCTGAAGACTCTAGTCTTCAGGGAGATGTACCTCTACCTTCCAAGCAGTGAAGTTCATAAACAAATATTACTTGGGGCAATCCATCACTGTGTTCATTTTTCAGTTTAGACCACTGCTTGAAAGGGTTATTTTTGGGCTACTACTCCCAGAAATTTCCAGCCATCAAGACAGCTTTTTTTTCTGTGTCCCGAGCGACTTGAGAAACTGCAAATTGCTTCTGGTGTGAGAGAATTGGCCAGCTGTAGTCTATTTAGTGCAATCCCCATATCCACAGGGAATGTGTTCCCAGACTTTGCACAGATACATAAAAACATGGATAATAGCAAACTATATTGAAACAAATGCCTTCTGGATGAAAAATACCATAAAGATGTGCTGGTAGGTGTAGAAGATGCTTAAAGAGAACATACTTTGTCGAATATGGATAAATGAAACTACAGATACCAGTTATGCAGGTATGGGGGTTGTGCTGTATTTTGCTTTGTGGTCATTGAACAACCTTTCTTGGGATGATCGATTTAAGCCACTATTGGTGGTCTGATTTCAGAAAAATGCTTAGATGTGATATATACTTCTGATTTTTCCCCAGTTGACAGACTCACCCCCTTCAGTAAATAATGAAACAAAACAAAACACACATACATCTGAATGGGCATAAATTGAGATATTGGTTTAAGTGATTCATCAATAAAAACATATTAATGCTGCTTCTGCAATGAGAACTATACCCAGTGTGATTTTGGAGGGCAGCATATCCCTTGCATTTATTATTCTCTCACAACTGTGATTTGTCAATATTTTTGTTTGTAATGTTTTTGAGCCTCCAGTGTTGAATAAAACAGTCCGCATTTCCCCTTTTCTTTGTTCAATAGAGATTCCTTCTAAAAAATTGCAAGGACTTCAATAAACTCCACAACTTCAGCAGGCAGCCCTAAAGATCCTTGGAAAGCACAGCGACAGCATTCTGCATAGTAACAGTCAATTCCTTCGTGCTAAAAATTCCCCTGAACCGCTCCCTGGGACTTTTGCTGCAGACAGGCTACTGTTAGCCAGCCGGTCCGTCTCCAGACTTCTCAAGGTATTTTCTGCCTTCTGATTTCCTTTCCAGGCATTGATGATAATGGCTTCATTCTCCTTAGTTTCTAAGAAAGATACATGCTTGCATGAATAGATGTAAAATAATGTAGGTGTGGCTGTGTGAGGTTATGCTTATTGCTAGGATAGTCGGAAAGCCTGTTATATGAGCAAGCATTCCCCATCCTCCTAAATCAATCAAGGAGCCTAAACAGTTGGAAACAGGGATGCATGCACCATAATGCCTCCCATCTACACATATGTAAATTATTTGTTTTATATTTTTTACTTTTTCTTCTCCTGATATAGGCATTCTATAGGTGGTGGAAAGATGTCAATATATCTATATACATAAAAGTCAAAGAATGTGTGTGTTTGTTTGTACCTCAAAGACTGTTGTTAGGAGAAACGGTCCTCTGTCATGTCACTGGATTGGCGGTTGCTAGGTGTAGTGGCCATCTGTGATGTCATTGGGAAAGACAGGTAACATGTTGTAACATGGGAAGGAAGGGAAAGGAGAAAAGGTATGAGGGGAAGATAAAGGTAAAGGTTTCCTCTGACATTAAATCTAGTCGAGTCCAACTGGGTGGTGGTGCTCATCTCCATTTCTCAGCCAAAGTGCCGGTGTTGTGCATAGACACCTCCAAGGTCATGTGGCCAGCATGATTGCATGGAGCATTGCTACCTTCCCACAGAAGCAGTACCTATTGATCTAGTCACACTTGCATGTTTTTGAACTGCTAGGTTGGCAGAAACTGAGGCTAACAGTGAGAGCTCACCTTTACCTTTACTGTTCCTCCCTCCATTGCTTTTCAATAATTTTTAAATGGTTTTCATTTTGCCCTAGCATTGCCATGGGCATTTGTGCCCCCTCTTGCCAGCATACCTAACCATGAAAGACAATGAGTTGCAATCGAAAACGAGTTGCAATCGAAAACATGCCCTGATAGAAAGTCAATTTTGAACTTGCTAAATTTCACCCTTAAAGAAGACTTTTCAAAATCCTGCTCGTTGAGTCTAATGTGGTAGAGCATTGCCGCCTTGCCTAATTATTTATTTGTTTTAACTTAGTCACCTTGACTTCCCTTTTGGAAGAAAATATAGAAATCAAGTATGTTTTTCTTACTTGTCTTTCTCTCCCTCTCTCTTTCAGGGTTAAGACCAGAATGTCCTAGTACAACACTATGAAATGGTCACTCCTGTTAAATGGAGTGCAGCTACTGGCACATTAATGGCTCATAAATGTGGATGAATCTGATCTGGAACAAAACTGCACCAGGATGCCCAGTGAGAGGTTCCAGAGCAACAGTGCGTTAGAGGAGCCTGCACTCAGGGAAAGCAAGTCCGGGGCCCAAAGCCCTAATTGCAACTCCTTACGCAGGGCTGTGGCCACTGCCGTGACCTTTGATGGAGAAGCCACCACTGAGAGACGGAAGAAGAAAAAGAAAGAGTCCCGCCCCGAATCCATCATAGTTTATCGGTCGGGGAATGAGAACAAGGTGGAAGAAGAACAGGCAGATGATGAAGGGGCTGAGAGAAGTTCTGAGGAAGGCTCCAAATTCCTGGGACACGCCGCAGGAGACGGTAACCACCTTGCAATAAAAATAGTTTGCTGTTAATAATTCGCTTCACTTTTTCCTAAAAAGGAGGTCTGTTCATCCTAGAACATCATTCTCTAGGGTTTCTGTTTTATTTAACATCTGTTCTATGTGCCTGAATATTTTCCTGCCTTTGTTTTCTGACAAATGGAACTTTTCGTAGTTGCATTTACTACTTTTTGTGGTGCCTGAGTTTTCATTTTCAGTCCCTTTGCCAGTAGTTTGTAACATCATTTTCCTTTACAATTGATTTTCAGAAAACTATACACAACAGCCCCATTTATTTTTTGTTGCTTACTTTACTTAGGCGATCCCTTGTAGCCTGAGGATGATGGCCCTCCAACTGTAAGTGTCTTGGCGATGGATCTGTAGGCCGTGGAGCCCTATTCTTGATCCGCATGTTCTCCTTCAGTGAGGGTATTGGTTTCCAGGTGGAAAGCGGTCCCAGTCAACGTTGGCTTGATGTGCCTTCCTCTTGGCACGTTTTTCCCTTCCTCCCTTTATTCGTGCCTCTTTGAATTCCGCAGCAGTGCTGGTCACAGCTGACCTCCAAGGGCCAGGACTCCCCAGTTCTCCGTGTCTATGTCACAGTTTTTAAGGCTGGCTTTAAGCCCATCGTTAAATCTCTTTTCCTGTCCACCAACTCTACGTTTCCTGTTCTTGAATTAGGAGTATAGTAACTGCTTTCAGTTATTGGGCATTCAGACAGCATAGCCAGTCCAGCGGAGTTGATGGCGTGGGAGCATCGCTTCAGTGCTGCTGGTCTTTGCTTCTTCCAGCACGCTAACATTTATCCACCTGTCTTCTCAAGAGATTTTCAGGAGTTTTCAGAGACGCTGATGGAATCGTTCCAGGAGTTGAGTGTGGCATCCGTAGAGACAGTCCACATTTCGCAGGCGTATAGCAGGGTTGGGAGGACAATAGCTTTATAAACAAGCACCTTGCTTTACCTACGGATGTCCTGGTCCTCAAACACTCTCTGCTTCATCTGGAAAAATGCTGCACTTGCAGAGCTCAGGCGGTGTTGTATTTCAGTGTCAATGTTGACTTTTGTGGAGGAGTGGCTGCCAAGGTAGCAGAAATTGTCTACATTTTCTAATGTTACACCATTAAGCTGTATTTTTGACATTGCAGAGGGATTGGCTGGTAGACACAACCAGTTTAAAAATTCAGTTTGACTTACCCTGCCCAGTAACATCACTTGGCTCTTAACTTAAATAAATAGTATGCATCATTTTTATATGACCCATTTCAGAGGATCCATCTAAAGCTCTTTTCTATTTGTTCTCAATTTCATCATCCTAAAAAAGTTGGTGTCATTTGAAAATGGCTTTACTTCGTGCAGTTCAATGGCAGATCCTGCATCTTGGTTGGATCTATTAGTTATAATATCAGTTCATTCCTATCCACTGCTGTCTGTTGTTTAACCAACAGGTTCTGTCCATTTGTTTTTAAATTGCACATGAGCACATTGTAACCACATTTTTTTTTATTCCTAGGTTCCTGGGCTATGCCTCTAGATAGCAGGTATGTCACTTTAACTGGGACCATAACAAGAGGGAAGAAGAAAGGCCAGATGGTGGACATCCATGTTACTCTTACTGACAAAGAGCTGCAGGAGCTGGCTCGGTCAAAGGAGCCTCCAAAACCAGAAACGCCTGAAGGGAAAAAAGCTTGTCAGGTTGGAGTGGATAAAGGCCCTCATGTTCTCCTCTGGAGCTTTGCCTGTCTCCCAATCATCTTTGTCATGTCCTTTGTGGTTTCCTTTTATTATGGAACCATCACTTGGTACAATGTCTTCCTGGTGTACAATGAAGAGAGGACCTTTTGGCACAAGATAACCTTCTGCCCCTTTCTCATTATCTTCTACCCAATCATCATCATGGTGGTTTCCTTCTCCTTGGGCCTCTACACAGCACTGACTCAGATCTCTTGGGCCTTTGGGGAATGGTGGCACGCGGTCCGGGATATGGAGAAAGGCTTCTGTGGCTGGCTCTGCAGCAAGATGGGCCTGGAGGACTGTTCTCCCTACAGCATTGTAGAGTTACTGGATTCAGACAACATCTCTGGTACCATGTCAGCTAAAGGTTCAGCTCAGGGTGAAGAGATATCAGCAGTCTGAGTGACACTGGGCTGTTCCTGTTCATGAGGGGAGAAACTTGAGCAAGGGCATACAGATGTTTCTTTTGGGGAGTAAAATCCTCCAAGAAATCTGGAACGTTCAGGAAGACCACAAAAGTCTCTGTTGATGGGACCATTTTCAAAATACAGGGGGTGACCCTGTACTCTTTCCCTTGTGAAAAGAGACCTTTTTGATGAAAGCTAGAGTGTCCAGGGGAGCTAGTGTGGTTTAGTGGTTTGAGTGTTGTATCAGGATTCTGGGAAACCGGGTTTCAAATATATTCCCAGTCCTGGAAACCCACTGAGTGACCTTAGGATAGTTGTATTCTTGGCCTGAGAGCAAAGCAGTGCAAACCACTTCTAAATAATTCTGGCCAAGATAAAAGAAAAACTGATGCTAGAGTTGACATAAGTTTACTTGAAGGCACATAATAACAACAACAAGCGTTTTCAGGAGTTGAGCTCTGGCAGATTGCATTTTCAAATCCTTGCTGGTGTTCAGCATGAACTAGTGCAGGGCTTGACTTCCTGTCCTTTTAGAAGGCAGGTGAAGGGGTGTATGTTTATATCTCTCCACATATATCTCTCCACATATATCAAAATAACTCATAACTAAGACTAGAAGGCTATAACATAGAATCATAGAGTTGGAAGAGACCTTGTGGGCCATCCAGTTCAATCCCCTACCAAGAATGCCCCAAAGTCATCAGATCCTGTCTGATTTTGGAAGCTGAGCAGGGTCAGTCCTAGTTAACACTTGGATGTGAGACAACTAATGAATAACAGAATATGAGAGAAAAGGAAAAGTCTAGTCTTAAGAAAACCCAACAACATCCATGTAGTCGCCATCAATCAACAGATGAAGGCACATAAACACACAAGAAATCTAGGCAGAAGTTTCCTTTTTGCCATACCTGTTTTCTGTGTGCAGATTTTATTTTTGGTGTCCTTTTGCTTAAAAAGAAATAGAGAACTTTCAAAAATTCAAACCCTGCTTTTCACCCAGTGGTCTGATAGGATTTAGTCCAGGAACAATTTTACATGCCCAATCTCCCATAACTTTTAACATAAACGTGCAAGACTGTCTCATAATGATGCTGGTCTGATTGGTGGCTTTTGTTGGGGTTTATTAAAACACATTGTTGAGGTGACAGATATTCTGTTTGATTGGAGTTGCTTGGTAGGGAGAAGGGAATGCAAAACGAACAGCTTGGCAAAATGGATCCTCCACTGTAAATATGCAGATGTGCTTTTCTGGCTGATGCCTGCCTCAGTGTTGCTGAAAATCAGGGGCTGACAACTCCAATCTGGAATGTGCTTACCAGGTTAGTCCACTCTAGTAGCCCTTCCAATGTTATTACAGGTAGTGATAGACATAAGAGCACACGGGGAAACTGAATGTCCTGGATCACAGTAGGCTCCCCATTTCATCCCACTATTTGTACACTCTTTGTGTTCCCTGCATGGTTGCCACACATTATAAATATATATATAATATTTGTTAAAAAATGCTCCATCTAGCATTTCGTTTCATATGTGGGAACAAAGCCAAGATGAATCAGAAACGGGGGTGGGGGGGGGGGAGGGAGAACTACAAAAACAAAATAAACACACTAGTGAAAATTAATTTGTGTTTATGTAGATTGTTAGCACAAGCCTTATTGTTCTCATAGAATATATAGTGGGAAGGGAAAGGAGTTAATGCCATAAGTTGTCCAACAGAATGCTCTATGTGACTGTTTTTATGGAAGCAAATACTTCTGGGATGGATAGTAACATGTCTCCTACTGAAATAATACATTTTCTTCTGAGATATGCATTATTGAGCCTTCTTACTTCATAGTCTTTTGACTATGGGCTTCTGTGAGGGAAACAAGACAGCCCAATTACTGGTGCTAGTTGTATTTGCCTTTCTTTGATACTGTTGTATTTGCCTTTCCCCCCTCTAAATACTATAGACTCTCCTTTCTCCCATGATGCAGCTTTAGTGGCCTAATACTGCAAAGCATTTGTAAAGCCTAATGACTTCGTTAAAAGCCATGCAAAAATTGAGAAGCACAATGTCTTCCAGCTTTGTTTCACGAATAATTGCTGGTTGTGTGCCACCTGGCACTTATAAATGTATTATTTTCAGATGTGAGTCTTTTTTATAAGTATACTCACCTTTTTTTCCTAGTGAACTTCACGGAGGAAAAATAGAAAAAATTCAACAAGTTGGCAGCAAAAATCACCACACTACCAACTTGGACAGTTAAAAGAATACAGTATATGTATATACAGTGATTTAACCTAATTTTTCTTGGAAAGATTACTTCCCTCCCCAAAGAATGATGAATGGAGTGAGCTGTGCAAGGTGGATGACTCAGTGAGTATTTTTGTGCTGCATTGTTCAAACACTTCAATCCTACTTCAGTGGTCTTGGTTTCGTCCTATGGAATCCTCTGTAGCAAAGTACTGAAATGCGTCAATTATCAAAACCAATGTATTCCCTAGCATTGTCTCTTTGATGGAAAATGTGGTACCAGAGACAGAAAAAAATATGGAAAGAAAGTCCATATAACATGTTTAAGTAAACTTTTAATTTAAAACTAGGAGAACGAAACAATCTTGTCAGGTAGACCTGAAACGAAACAATCTTGTCAGGTAAACCTTGTCTAATTAAACAAAAACTTTTTGAAAATTATTTCCAAAATATATCAAGGGTTCCCCCATCAGTTGTTTTCTTCCTCCTCTTCCTCTTCTTCTTCATTATTATTATTATTATATACAGCAAACAAGATCATTATGCTGATTTTTGTATTTGGTCACACGTGTGAGGTATCGGCAAATAAGGCGTGCAAATCCGAGTAGGGTGGCCTTTTGTAGCTGACAGATAATTTTGTCAGTGCCAATTGTTTTTAAATGCAGGCCAAGGTCTTTAGGCACTGCACCCAGTGCCAGTCACCACTGGGACCACCTTAACTGGCTTATGCCAGTCATTATTATTATTATTATTATTATTATTATTATTATCTCTCTTTTTCTCTCCACAAGGAGACTCCAAGTGGCTCAACATTTTTTTTCTAATGAGAGCTATACTTTTTAACATGTTGGGAGCATATGCTCAGTAAGTATCATGCATGCTCAGTAGATATCTTGAAGGAAGGTGGTGTTAATTTACTTTTGTAGGCAGCCATGTAGCTACAGGAGGATCAAGTAGAGCAGAATCCTGCATGTTTCCCACACCAAGCTTCATTGCATTGTTTACCGCAAACACTGCTTCAGCCTGACACAAACGTTATTGTTGCAGTAAACAATGCATTGAAGCTTAAGTGGGAAACATGCAGGATTCCTGCACTGTCCTCCCATGCTGTTGCTGGGGGACAAATCCATGTAGAAAAAGAGAAAAGTGGAAAAGGAAGGGATGAGCAAATATAAAAAGACTTTGTAAAAAGGAACTTCTTTTTGTCAAGGACTTTATTAACTGAAGCATATTGATATGCCAAGTACCTCACTCAACTACAAATTGCAGGATCCCATAGGATGGAATCATGGCAGTTAAAGTGGGATCACACTGCTATACCCGTGTAGTGTGGACACACTCTGTGTTTGATTCACTGGTTTGTTGGCCCCAGTGACTGGCCCTGCAACTGGACAGACTGAGGCGATTGCTTCAAGCGGCTCATTGGGGGTGACACAAACAAGCAGCACATTTTGTATATTGGCAGCTATTCTCAATTCATGTTGTGGTTGAGGAGGAGAGGCAGTTTCCTGCCTCACGTGTCAAAATAACCTGACCAACCATGTGCACTGGGCACCTTGACCAGTTGGGGTGAGATTGACCCCCTTTTACCTCACGCAGCAAATGATCTTGGGATAGTCCAAGTTGGAGAAAAATCCTCCATGCCTCCAGTATTAATTCTACATCTGTATGCACCCTTTGTCATCTTGCAATTCCCCAAAGAGTTTTTGCTAGCTGAATGTGTATAGCTTTTGTTCTTATTTGTACTGGGAGATGTAAAGATGTGTTTCTTAATATTTATTTGATTTCCATTTTTCTCTTCTTGATCTCCAGCTTCAAAGTGAACCATAGTTCTCCCTGCTCGATTTATATTAAAGTGCTGTGAATAGTACCTTGCATCTATCATTGCTTTATTATTTTGCATGTTTTTCTTCTGTCTTGTTTTTACAGTCCTTTTATTCTCTCTTCTTTGCATACTTTAAGTAGAGTATTTCAGTACTGAGTTCCAGGCAACGTGAGATCTGGGCCATCTTTATTTCTTGACTTTACGTCCTGATTCAATTGTCATTGCACACTCTAATGGAGTCAGCAGAATCTCTTACTAAGACCATACAATAGCAGAATGATACTGAAATAACCACAGACAAAGCGACAATTCATAAATATTCTGCGAGTCTGTTTCTCGAGAAACAGACCTGCAGAATATTTATGAATTGTCGCTCTGTCTGTGGTTATTTCAGTATCAGAATCATCTGTCAGTATAATTTCAGTTAGCATGAAAAAGTTCTTGTTTCATGATAAATATCTTTTGTTAAGCCTGGGATTTAGAATACAACAACTAATTGTGGAAATGCCTAAACCTCTTATACATTTATGTTAGGAGGTAAAGGATATCAGTTATGTAAATGAGTAAATCTGCTTTGGCAAACCTCATTTTTCTTGAAGTGTTGGATACTTCCAAATTACAGACAAATTTAGTCATGCTTAGAATAAAAGGTAAAGGTTTCCCTTTAACATTAAGTCTAGTTGTGTCCAAATCTATGGGGTGGTGCTCATCACTATTTCTAAGCCGAAGAGTCGACATTGCCCACAGATGCCTCCAAGGTCATGTGGACGGCATGACTCATGGAGCGCTGTTACCTTCCCACTGAAGTGGTACCTATTGAACTACTCACATTTGCATGTTTTCAAATTGCAAGGTTGGCAGAAGCTGGGCCTAACAGCGGGAGCTCACCGTGCTCCTCAGATTCAAATCGCCAACCTTTAGGTCAGCAAGTTCAGCAGTTCAGTGCTTTAACCTGCTGCACCACCGGGGGCTCCACATGCTTAAAATAGGTCAATTGAAATAAATGGGATTGGAGTTTTGAGTGGAGATGGATGCTGAAATATTACTGAATTTTTGTTGAGTTTAGGATCCTGCACCTAAAGGACCAAAGATTCAGGAAGAAAATAAATGTTCCTCTTGTTAAGGTTTCTAAACCTATAGAAGAAATACATTCTTGTTTAGAAATAACCCAATCCTTTCTAAATTAATCTTAAAAGGAAAAGAGATATGTGTTGCGTCATGTTCTCTCTTAGCTTAAACTAAAACTTTACAAATATTGTTGACATAGCTTGTAGACATGCATCATTTCGCAACACAGTAATTCAGTTTTAATTCAGCAAATTGGGAGGTTAAACCAACCTCTTATAAGAGATACAAACACATACATAAATTATAATAATGAAATGGATGGGGGCACAACATACCTCATGAAAACCTTTCATTCATATTTCTCATGTTCATGCGACGCACCTACACACTGCAGCCGACACTAATGTGTTATGACACACAGTTTGGAAAGCTCTGCTTTATACACCTCTTAGCATCCAATAGCCTTGGATTTGGGTATCGCAGCAAATGTTGTTTTTGTGTAGGGATTCATTCTCTTCCCCAGTAAGTTCTTTCTACTTCCAAGCATCACTTACTGGTAGATTACTTTCAGAGAAGTATCTGCACGAGTCTCTTGCTGCATAAAAAGAAGGAAGGAATGGAAAAGACAAAAAGAAGAAATGTGGCAGCACCACGGTGAGTTTGGGTTTTTTGTATGAGCTTTCAGGGATATCAATCCACTTCTTTGGAAGCTGTACAAAGTGATATTAAGACAACAGTTAATAGTTGTGGGAATGGGATAAAATGTAATAATCATTATGCTTGCCCTAAATTATCAAAGGGTTGCATAAAGTGATATGTCTATACTGAATCCAGTCTGAAGAGTATTTAAAAAAAATCTTCCACCCCAATTAAAAATAATAATTATTGAAAACCAGCATAAATTAGGAAGGAAATTCAAAAGAGAAATAGTTTCTAATCAAAAAAGGAAAGCAGCAGCTGCAAACAAGCCCTATCGAGGAATAACGTGTTTTCAGTGTTTCGTCATCAAGGACATGTTCTTAGTATTGCCTTCCATGCCAAAAAGCTTCTCATTGTGCCCAATATAGCTTAATCAATCCATTGTGATGTTAATGAGCCAAAAGATAGTTACTGGAAGTGAAGCTTTGGTCACTGTTAACACCGTTCTAGAATGTAGAAAGAGACTTTTTTTTTTAAAAAAAAAGTCAACTGAGTATCTCATGTTTTCAGTGCACTAAAAAGTGTAGGGGTAGGGGACAATTTTGTTTTGCAAAAGAATTACTAATAACCATCAGTGATGAGCAACAAGAAATACATCAAAATGGTTTCCCAAAGATTTATTTCACAGGAAAATCTCCAGTCCCTTGGGAAGTTTTTGTTGCTCTGCAGGCAGGTAAAGCCCTCTGACTTTAAACACCACACAGCTGAGTAAAAATGCAAGCAGTTTGTTGAAGATATTTTAAAGCAGTAGCAGTAGAAAGCAACCCACAAAAATAGGTAAATCCAATTAAGTAGAAAGATAGAAACAAATAGTCCAGGAAAATAGTCCATCAGAGTTCATGAAAACAAACACTGAAACTTCCAAGGTAAAACCCCAAAACTTAAACACAAATCAAACAAGGCACTTAGCACAGGAATCTATCCAAGGCAAGGCTTCCGGGGATCTGGGACAAAGTCTTGACTCAATTCCAACATTGCTTCGTCTGGCTACAGATTCTGTACTTGGCACTTTTATTCCCTAATCAACTCTATATCCCAAGTGGCTAGGAACTGATTTCTTTTCAGCCTTGACTGTTATCAATCTCTCTCACAATCTGGCAGAGCGCCTAAGAGCTTGGTTTGTTTGTCTGTGCTAACTGAAAGCTTTTTGCCAATCTGCTGGCTTATTAATTTCTGTAGCTGGCCCAGGTGCCGAGCTTTTCTCAGGCTCAAAGCCTTGGGAATTCTCCGGTAGCACTTCAGGCCTTGGGAAACATACCATCAACCCCAAACCCTTCAGGAACATTCTCATCAGAAAAATCACTTTGAACAGGAATCCCATTGTCATTCCCTGCATCTAGAACAAATTCATAATTAGAAATAACATTAGAAACATTAACCTCATTGTCACTCCCAACATCCAGAGTACCCTGATCATTAGACATAATCACAGGCTGAACTCCAACAGTTTTGCTCCAATCCTATTGAACTGAACACATCTACCTGCATTTCAAAGAATATGAGTGTAGAAAGCATTTTGGAGTGTATCCCATGCTACTGAGAAAGAAATGTGTTCTGCTTAATTTTTGTGAAGAAGTATACTGTCAGGGCACATGCTGCTGGACCACATGAACCACTAGTAAACAGTATGGAGATCAGTAGTGTCTCATACATCTTAGTCATATCCAGTGGCAAGTGGTCTTAGCACTGAACCTCCCAAAAAATTAAAAAGTTGGGAACACCAACAAATTGATACGGTCTTTGTCCCAAGAATTCCTGGTCCTTTGTTTGGTCCATGTTGGTCTCTGCTAAAACTTGAGGGTGCATCTGCACTGCAGAATTTATGAAACTCGACACCATTTTAACTGCCCTGGCTCAATGCTATGGCTTCATGGGATTTGTACAAGGTCTTCAGCCTTCCCTGCCAAAGAGTGCCAGCGCCTCACCAAATTACAACTCCCAGGATCCCATAAGCATAGAACAAAGGCAGTTATAGTGATGTCAAACTGCATTCATTCTACAGTCTCGAGTCGAAGCACCCTGAGTTCGTCTATTTTCAGGATTAAGGGATCCAATGGAAATTAGCATAATCATCCTCTGTGATGAACTCTCTAACTAAAAATACCTTTACTGGAGTTCTTTTTGCTTCCCAGTCCCTATTCACAGTGTGGTTTTCTGCTAGAGACTTCACCAGTCTCAGTTTAATTTGTCCATAGTTTTCTATTTAATCATTTCAATAAAATGTCCAGACTGGGTTCCCTCTTGAACAGAATTTTTCAAGTCTGCATCGTTTCCCTTCCATTAGAGTGAAATTTGTGCATAAGGATCCCAAATGTAAAACCAGGAAAACTGGTCTATTTAACTGTACACAGGATCCATTCATGCTTCTATGGACCACAGAGTCCTGCAGCTTCACAGCTGTGGCTCTCAAGATAATGCATCCTTTCTTAGGACACAACTGGAGGCCTCTTACTTTTATTCCTCTGCAAAATGGCCAGATTATGTGTGGACAGTCTTTCTTGTGTTGTTGCTTCAGCCCAGGGCTGTTTCTGTTCCAGGAAGGCATTGTTTTAGGTTAACAAGGGCACCTTTCTTTCTCAATTATGGCAACTGGTTAAGGTTCCTCCTGAGATTATCAGAGCTCCATAATTGTGGCCAGAGCAGCATTGTGGTCTCTGTGTCGAACGAAACTCTTGGGCAACCAGAGTTCAAATCCTCACTTAGCCATAGAAACTCTTGTGATTTGGGGCAGGCAATACCTTTGCAGCCTAAAAGGAAGGCCTCCACTACATAAATTTTGCCAAGAAAAATGTTATGACAGTTTTGCCATGAATCGGAGTTGACTTGACAACGCATTGCCGCAATGAGGGCTGTAGTTCCGATCTATCACTATTTGTAGGGCAGCATGCGCTGGAAAATGAGAGCTGTTGTTCTATCTAGTTTTTCTCTCCTGGCAGATGTTATCAGCAAAGACATATAACTTAAAAAGTGGGACAAATGTTGATCTCAGACTCTGGGAGGTGATGCTCATCTCCATTTCTAAGCTGAAGAGCCGGTGTTGTCCATAGACATCTCCAAGGTCATGTAGTCAGCATGACTGCATGGAGCGCCGTTACCTTCCCACAGAAGCAGTACTTATTGATCTACTCAAATTTGCCTGTTTTCAAACTGCTAGGTTGGCAGAAGCTGGGCCTAGCAGCAGGAGCTCACTCCGTCCCTGGATTTGAACCACCGATCTTTAACTCAGCAAGTTCAGCAGCTCAGCAGTTTAACCCAGTGCACCACCAGGGGGCCTAATATATATAGTATATCTATATTATTATAAAGTTGAGAAGAAGAATTATATCTGTTATACACCTATTTGAAAGCTCATATGAAAGCTTGTATTTGCTGGTATGAGCTTTCAAGTAGGTGTATCATAAAGATATAATTGAGATAGGTTTGATGAGATTCTACTGGGTGACTTGAGACAGGAAGAATGCTTGTGTAAGCCCTGTTAACTCATGAGCTTCTATGGGTGCATCCACACTGTAGAATGAATGTAGTTTTATCCCACCAGGCTGTGTTGCAGCTAGCTGATAGCCAGCTACATTAATTCACTACTGACTGAGAGGTCATGAGTTTGAAGCCAGCCCGGGTCAGAGTGAGCTTTCGGCCATTAGTCTAGCTTACTGTTGACCTTTGCAACCTGAAAGATAGTTGCATCTGTCAAGTAGGAAATTTAGGTAGTGCTTTATGCAGGGAGACCAATTTAACTAATTTAAAACACCATAAAGCCTTCCATCAGTATGCAGAAGAATGAGGAAGTACTCCATCAAAGGACTCAGTGTCACAAATGGACAGCTCCCCCTGTGACTGCAATTGAGCATACATTCATGAATCTAGAAAGCTGGAATGCTAAATTGCCTCTGTGTCTGTCTATATATGTTGTATGTCTAAATGGCATTGAATGCTTGCTATGTAGATGTGCATTGTAAACTGCCCTGAGTCCCCTGCAGGGTGAGAAGGGCGGAATATAAATACTGTAAATAAATCAATAAATTAAAATGCCATGGCTCATTGCTGTGGAGTTCTGGTATTTGTACAATGGTTGAATGAAAAGTAATGCCTCCACCTTCGTTACTTGGGTTTGGATGGGAATATTTTAATAAATCAAATGCAGAAATAATCCTTAGAATGTGCTCTTTAACTACTTTTCCACATAATCACCAGACAATTGGATACATTTCTGCCAACAATGAACAAGTTTTCTGAAGCCATCACGGAAGAAGTCGACACTCTGTTTTTGCAACGAGCGTCTCACAGTTCTTTCAACGTCTTCATCAGAAGCATAATGATGTCCCCACAGATCTTCTTTCATTATCAGGACCAGATGGAAGTCAGACAGTGCTAAATCTGGACTGTATGGAGGATGCCGTACGATGGTGAAATCGAGTCTCTGAAGTTCTGCTGTGTACCCATCGTGCACAGATCTTCTGATAGCCAAGCAAAGGAATAATGTGACCCACACGTTCTTGTGAAATGCTGATTATGCTTGAAATTTCTCTCTGAGTGATATGACAATCGTCCTAAATCAATCTGACAATCTTTTGCTTGTGAAACTTGGTGGTTGCTGTCATAGGACGTCCAACTCTGTTTCTCACGCAAGTCAGATGTTCCCACCTCAACATCTTTAAACTTACTTAAACTTACAACGCAAAGTACACACATCAACACAATCACCATAAACAGTTTGCCTTCTTTGCTGAATCTCCTTTGGAGTGACACCTTCTGCTGTCAAGAATTCAATGACTGCACATTGCTTAACTCGCATTGACCGACCGTCTACGCAGGGTTCCATACTTTGCACTTTAACAACACAACCGTTCAATGCTAAGGCTTCCCGCCAAAATGGAACTGTAGAGGAGTGTCTAGTGAACAAGCCAGTACCTGCCGCATACCAGTACTGCCAGAGTTTAATAATAATAATAATAATAATAATAATAATAATCTGTTGAGGAGTTACGAAGGTGGAGGCATTACTTTTCATTCAACCCTCATAGTTTGGTGAGGCCCCCTAGAACAATGACTCCAAGTGCTCCGGAGCTCTGAATGGTGAAAGTGGGGTCGAAATGCATTCTTTCTGCAGTGAAGGCGCATCTAAGGAGTGCCTCCCTCCACCTCCCTTTCTGTGGATCTCTCCCCGGCAGTTCTCCCGGCGGCCACTAGATGTCGCTGCCGGCTTCGTTCCAGGAGCTCCACGGAGGCGGGCCGGGATTCCCCTTCCCGGAAGGGAAGAGGCGCCAAACAGAACAGGAGAGGAAACTGCGGGAGAATGTGGCGCGCAAAGGTAAACCCGGAACTGGAGAGCCCCCTCGCCACTTGCACCCGGTCTGCTGGCATCACAGCGGGTGGGATGGGAAAGCCTCTTCCTCCTCCTGGTGAATGGCTGCCCATTGAGCTAGGAGCTGGGCCCTCCCTCTTGCCCGCTTTGGCTGCATCTACACTGTGGAATGAATGCGGTTTGGCACTGCTTTAAGCGCCATGTGCCAAGGCGATGGGGTCTTGGGATTTGCAGTTTGGTGAGGCACCCGCACTCATGCGCAGAGGAGGCTAAAGACCTTGCAAAACTAGAACTCCCACAATCCCATCGCATTGAGCCAGGTTATTTGAAACAGCATCAAAACGTGTTTATTTTGCAGTGTGAGTGATGCACCCCTAGTCCTGGGATGCTTAAGGTCCCTTGAATACATCTACACTACAGAAGGAATGCTCTTTAACCCCATGGCTTAATCAATGCTATGGAATCATGGGAGTTGTAGTATTACAAGGTCTTTAGCCTGCCTTGTCAAAGAGGGCTCACCAAATTATACATTCCAGGATTCCACAGCACTGAGCCAAGCCAGTGAAAGTTGTGTCAAACTGCATTAATTCCACAGTGTAGATCAGGCATGGGCAAACTGCAGCCTTCCAGTTTGTTTTGGATTTCATTTCTCACAATTCCTAACAACCAATTAGGAATTGTGGGAGTTGAAGTCCAAACACCTGGAGGACCAAAGTTTGCCCGTGTCTGGTGGAGATGGACCCAAGGATGCTGGACTCCCAGGTTGAACAAAGGCTCACAAATCTTTAAAGCTGAGGGCCCTTCCAGACAGGACCTGTATCCCAGGATTCACACCCCAGTTTATCCCAGATTATCTGTCAGCGTGGACTCATATAATCCAGTTTAAAACGGAAAATGTGGGGTAGGATCCAGGAATATAAGGCTTGTCTGGAAGCGCCCTGAGTTTCTCAAACTGTGCTCCTCCAGATGTTTTGGATTTCAGCTCCCACAATTCCTAACAGCTGGTAAGATGGCTGGGTTTCTGAGAGACAACTGGAGGAGCATGGTTGGAGAAGCTTTAAAGTGTGCAGGTATGTCTCCACCTCAATAGTAAAACAAAATGAATGACTTTTCAGTCGGATTACTGCAAGTACAGATGAAAGTAATCAGTGTAATATTGTTCTGGTTTGAAACATAGTGGATAATAAAGTCAAGAAATGATAAAATTAATCTTCAAAATCAGAATGCATACAATGTGTTATTCCAAAGTAGGTGTCCTTAGGACAGTGTTTCTCAACCAGGGGGAGGGTCGTGAGGGAGTGTCAGAGGGGTCGCCATAGACCAGGGGTCCTCAAACTAAGGCTCGGGGGCCGGATGTGGCCCTCCAAGGTCATTTACCCAGCCCTCGCTCAGGGTCAACCTAAGTCTGAAATGACTTGAAAGCACACAATAACAACAACAATCCTATCACATCAGCCAAAAGCAGGCCCACACTTCCCATTGAAATAGTAAGACGTTTATATTTGTTAACATTGTTCTTCATTTTAATTATTGTATTGTTTTAAAGTGTTTTTTTACGCTACAAATAAGATATGTGCAGCATGCATAGGAATTCATTCATGGTTTTTTTTTTCAAATTATAATCCGGCCAACAGTTTGAGGGACTGTGACCTGGCCCTCTGTTTAAAACGTTTGTGGACCCCTGCCATAGACCATCAGAAAACACATTTTCTGTTGTTCCTGGGGGTTCTGTGTGGGAAGTTTGGCCCAATTCTATCATTGGTGGGGTTCAGAATATTCGTTGATTGTAGGTGAACTATAAATCCCAGCAACTACAAGTCCCAAATGTCAAGGTCTATTTTCCCCAAACTGCACCAGTGTTCTCAATTGGGCATATTGAGTATTTGTGCCAAGTTTGGTCYAGATTCATCATTTGTTTGAGTCCACGGTGCTCTCTGGATGTAGGTGAACTACAACTCCAAAACTCAAGGTCAAATGCCCACCAAACCCCTCCAGTATTTTGTGTTGGTTGTGGGAGTTCTGTGTGCCAAGTTTGGTTCAGTTCCATCATTGGTGGAGTTCAGAATGCTTTGATTGTAGGTGAACTATAAATCCCAGCAACTACAACTCCCAAATGACAAAATCAGTCCTACCCCTAATCCRACCAGTATTCAGATTTGGGCATATCGCGTATTTGTGCCAAATTTGGTCCAGGGAATGAAAATACATCCTGCATGTCAGATATTTACATCATGATTCATAACAGTAGCAAAATTGCAGCTATGRAGTAGCCACGAAAATAATGTTATGGTTGGGTTTCAGTATTAAAAGGTCATGGCATTAGGAAGCTTGAGAACCACTGCCTTAGGAGGAATGTTGGTATTTATTAGAGTGGTGAAGTGTTTTGGACAACAAATCGCACAATGCCTTGCTGTTGTTGGATGCTGCTTCTGGGAATTGAAGTTCCCTGGTATAAAAAGGAGAGGAAAAGATGCTATATATTTGTATAGACTATACACAGGCAAACTGTGGCCCTCTGGGTGTTTTGGACTTCAACTCCCACAATTCCTAACAGCCAGTAGGCTGTTAGGAATTGTGGGAGTTGAAATCCAAAACACCCGGAGGGCCAAAGTTTGCCCGTGCATGGTATAGACAATTCCAATCTGTTTAACTTTGTTCTGCCTTTCTTTTCTTTTTCCAAGGAAAGTTCTTAGCTGCCTTTTAAGAGCTGCGTGCCAAGTAGACATTTCCGAAAGGGAAATTAACTTTTGCTGTCATTGCTCATTTGTATTAGGAAAAGCTTTGCTTGCTGATTTGGTATACAGCTCTTGAAGCCTTAGGAGACGTGCCAGGAGAAAGAAATATAGACCTGGCATTGCTTTTTATCATTTCTGAAGCACCATTAAGCACAATTCTTTGCACATTTGGACTTGGAATGAGCTTTATTGAACGCAGTGGGACGTATTTCTGAGAAAATGTTTATTTAAAGCATCCTTAGCCTTTTAAAATAATGGTTTTAAGGTCAGAGACGAACATATAAATCAAAGATGGGAAACAGGATATGAGTCATCTAGGAAATTATTTCTCAGCCTTTGATCTTCCAGATGTTTTGGATTTTAGCTCCTCAAATTCCTTGACAGTTGGCCAAGGCTAGGGCTTCTAGGAGTTGAAAGGATCAAGGTTTGGGGACAACTGACTTACAGTGCATCCACACTATAGAATTAATGATGTTTGACACCACTTCAACTCTCATGGCTCAGTGCTGTGGAATCCAGGAAGTTGTAGTTCGGCAGAGAACCAGTGCTCTTTGGCAGCGAAGGCTAAATATCCTGTTAAACTACAACTTCCATGGTTCCTTAGCATTGAGCCATGGTGATTAAACTGATATAGAACTGCATTAATTTGATGGTGTAGATCAGGCATTCTCAAACTGCGGCCCTCCAGCTGTTTGGGCCTTCAACTCCCAGAATTCCTGACAATTGAACAAGCTCGCTAGGGCTTCTGGGAGTTGGAGGCCTAAACAGCTGTAGGGCCACAGTTTGAGGATGCCTGGTGTAGATGCAGCCCAAGAGGGCCAAATATTGTGCAATTGTTCTTCCAAAGTAAGCAGACACTTGGAGGCTATAAAATGAAAATATATTGGGTTGGTGTGAGTTTTCTGGGCTGTATGGCCATGTTCCAGAAGCATTCTCTCCTGATGTTTCACCCACATCTATGGCAGGCATCCTCAGGGGTTGTGAGGTCTGTTGGAAACTAGGCAAGTGGAATAATGCCCAGGGTGGGAGAAAGAACTCATGTCTGCTTGAGGCAAGTATGAATGTTGCACTTGGCCACCTTGATTAGCATTGAAGGCCTTGCAGCTTTAAAGCCTGGCCAATTGCTGCCTAGGGGAATCCTTTGTTGGGAAAATATATTTCTTAGAGTATTTAGTAACTCCTATTAGTTTAGTAGGGTTTATATCTAGGTAAATTGATGCCTGCTAGCTATGACTTCCTTTACAGCGGAGAAAAATTTGGTTCTAACTTTTGAAATTCCACAGTGTTCTGTTTAGGGCCATAAATGTGTCCTTACATTATTTTGTTCTTAGGTGTGTTCTAATTCAGTTTTTTTTCTTTTCCTTTTGGCAGTCAGCAGTGGTGCTATGTATGGATGTTGGCTTTTCGATGAGCCATTCTGGTCAGGGAGAGGAGTCTCCTTTCGAACAAGCCAAGAAAGTGATTACAGTGTTTGTCCAACGGCAGGTAATTAAAGAGAAATAACTTATCACTAGATCATAGTTCGGGCAGTCCCCAAGTTACGAACAAATGGAGTCTGTAAGTTTGTTCTTAAGTTGAATTTGTTTGTAAGTTGGAACAGGTATATTTTTGAAGTGTAACTCCAACCATATCTATCTATCTATCTTTCTTTCTTTCTTTCTTTCTTTCTTTCTTTCTTTCTTTCTTTCTTTCTATAGCTTTGGATAGCATAGTTAATATCTCTATGGTGTTTGCTTTGCTGTCTGTGCTTGTGTTCAGAAGATTTCACTTCACTTTCTGTCCCTTTGACTATTGGATTTTGAGAAATTTGGCTTGTTGAAACTAAAGTTGGTGATAAAGTGGAGACCCCTTTTCCCCATGATAACTCTTTCAGGAGTGAATATTCTTTCCTAGAGGTAGATTTCTCTCACTTCCTGTTATCTCACTCTCTGTTCTTAACTGCGAGTCATTATAAATCAGATTTTGTAACTCGGGGACTGATTGTAGATGTTACAGGAGTTACAAGCAAACTGCAGCATGACATTGATTCTGTAATATAAAATGAAACTGGCACATCTTCTGGTATCATAATGGTGTGCTTTAACTCCACTCCTGGAAAGAGCAACTGCTGTGGGGAACGTGCAAGAGAGCCTCCTGTGGTTATTAGGATTTTGATAAACGTCTGAGCCTGCTGTGTAAGATGGAGATTTGTTTGTGACACTGTAGTCATCTTAGCAGCAGCTCCATTTGGTGTGTGTGTGTGTGTGGGGGGGGGGGGGGTACACAGATAAGATAATTTCTCAGGACAAGAAAATACTTTAAATTTGATTTCTCAGTATAATGCATACTTAAGTTTGGCCTGTAGTAGCCTCCAGTCAAGCCTTGCCTCGTGAGAGGTGCCACCTGGTTGTCAGGTGAAAAGTGAAAAGGTCTGGGAAATTGGCATCAGGAGCAGTAATGCACTGGCAGTAGGCTTGAGCCAGGATCCATTTTTAGCCATTTCTTTTGGCCAATCTTTTTGGGGTTTTCTTTTGGGTGCCCGTAACGGCAAGGGGCCAGTTGTCACAGATTCCTGTCCAAAACGTAACCACGTGGCAGCCAATCTCGGCTCTTCCTCCTTTATTCGGCACCATATTTTAATCTTTTTGATTTTCTTTGATTTCATTTATGCTTTTTATTTAGTGGGACTGACTGGGAGTTGGGAACAGGTGGGAGAGCACACACATTTGGGTGGTGATAGCACACACATTTGGGGGCTTGGGAAAGTCACCTCTTTAGCTTCTTTTTCTCCTTCTCTTCCTCTACTTCAAATACTTCTAAAAGGTAATAATGATAATTATTAAGCCCATCAAACAAAAAGAAAGTCCTCATTCTCTGAAAACTACTACCACCTAGTTACCTCTCCTCTAGAGAAGAAAGTAGAAATGACTTTAAGGAAGCATTGAACCTGGAGATTGAAGCGTGCCCACTCCAGACAGGTCCTGCAGTAGAGAAAAATGAGGGTTGTTTTTTTTTTTTTAAGGAAACCCAGGGAGATTGATCCAGGTCGATCACTCTTTCTTCCCTGGGAAGTAGGAAGCCTCCCTATATGCCTTGGAAAGCTTTGTGTAGGGAGAGAGAGCACGCACATGCAGCCTGTCTCCTCTAGAGTAGAAAGAAAAAGCCCGGCTCCCTTGAAGGAAAAAAGAAAAGCCTCCCAGGAACAGAAAGGGGAATCCCGTAAATTCCCCATTGCTGCTAGTGGCCCGGATCTAGCCGTTGTTTTCACCTACAGACCAAAAACGGCTATCTGGCTACCCACCTGTTTTCGGGAATCATGCAAAAACGATGCAGGGGTCTACCGGTATCTGGGCAACAGAAACCGATCGAGTTTTAGCTGAAATACACAAATCTAACTGGCAGGCTATTTCAAAGGGGATTGAGATCCTAGCCCATTGCTCTGAGAAGTATCTAAATTGTCATCAACTAATACCAGAAAAAAATGACTTTTTTCTCACTCTTGAGCAGACGTGATCAGCCATAGTGATGTAAAGGCCATCTTTTGCCCTGGTGACAGGACAACCCTCTCCATAATCCTGAACCAGAAGTTATTTTCAGGAGTACAAGTATGGAGAACAGATTCAAATCCTTGCTCAGCCATGGAAACCCTTGGGTGAGTCCCACACTCTCAGCCTCTCAGGAAAAGGAAGTTAACCCTCCTCTGGAAAAAAAATTGCCAAGAAAATCCCATGATATCTTTTTCTTAGGGTTGCATTAGTTGGGGATGATTGGAAGGCACACAACAAACAGCAACAAAGGTAAACCATGACCTTGGGTGATTTCTGGAAATTATGATATACCTTCCCCATTCCAATTCTGTTAGTTATTTTAAACCATTCATGCCTCTTACATTGTTGAGGGAACGGGTCTTTGTAGTAAGATTTTTCTGGCCCCAGCATGTGTTTCTAAATATTGACTTGTAGTATTATGCAGCCCTCATGACTCCAGTTTGATATCTAAATTTGAAAATTTGATGTAACTAAAGAGATTTTACTTGTGAGGCTAGCAAATCGTTGAGGGTTACCTGTAAAGTTTATACCACTCACTCTGTCATCTTGTTTTCCATTTCCAGGTATTTGCAGAGAGTAAAGATGAAATTTCCTTGGTTTTGTTTGGCACAGAGAACACAGCAAATAGCCTTGCCAGTGAGGATCAGTATCAGCATATTGCTGTGCACAGACACCTGATGATGCCGGATTTTGATTTGTTGGAAGACATACAAAATGTGATTCAGCCCACTTCTGAACAAGGCGACAGTATCTTTTATGAATGTGTTTTTGCCAGATAACGGTTGTATGGAGGGTTGATAGTTTGTTTTGATCTCAAACCACCTTCTTAACAAATTCCCATAGTCTTTATGATGAAACGGTTCCCCCCCCCCTTCACCAACTTCCAGTCGTATGACTTCAATTTTGCAGGCAAAAGCTATAAAACTATGCTTTTTAGAAATACGCTGGTAGTAACTGGAGAGGCAGACTTATCTGCTTGCCCCTTTTCTCTTTGGTGTGTTGTTCACACATGCTGAATAAGGGATTTAGGAAGAAACTTCTATTTACCTTGCTCACAAGTACTGTAGGATTGGCTAGAGGAGAATACAGTTCTTTCCTAGGTCAATCTTTATTGCATTGTTTACTGCAGGTGCGCTGCTGCATCCTAAAGCGGAAGTACACTTCGATACTGCTCTGTCACCAGCCTCATAGTACCCAATGCTACTTAAAAGCATACATTCTTCCAGCCAGAAAGGACAAGAGCAAGCTAAGAGCTCTATAGGTGTAAAATACTTTGTAAGAGGAGCTTCATTGTCAGAAGCTTTGTTAACTAGAGTATGCCTGTATACTTGATAGTTTGTAGTCCATCTTTATTCAGGATGTTGGTACAAAGTGATGTCACATCCAAAGTGGCTTGGATAGTGTTCTCTGAGAGCCTGAGGATTGATTGTATTTTCCACAGGAGATGGTTTGAGCATTGATTACATATGGTCTGAAATCTGACCATATATCAGACTCCTGATAATGGGGGTTTCAGTGTCTTTTTCTTCAAAAAGGTAAATTACATCTTATAAATAGTTTTGGGGTTTTTTTTGGGTGGTAGGAAATTTTATTGAGAATTTTTTTTCAGTGTGTTTACTTGGGTAGAGAGATAGTTTTGTATGTGAAGTTTCAGAACTGAGATTTCATTCTTGTTTGCTGTATGAAATTCTGATGAAATGGTTTAGCAGTTTCCTGGAGAGAATTTTGCAATGTCTTGTTATAATAGTTCATGGGATATATTGTCTGCAGCAGTTTTTTTTCATTCCCTAGGAATGACATTTTGTTATTTGCATTTATTCAGAAATCCAATGACTGCCAGTATTTCAGCAAGTATTTTGTAGGTTTTGTATATTTTTCCTTGCCACAGCATGTTTAGACATTTGCTTGTTATTACTACTCTTCCTATAGGACTGCTGCGCTAATAATATAGTGATGTGATGATGCCCAAGATATATCAGATCATTGCCTTGTTATTTCATTGTCTTTCCTTAATGTGCCTAGTCCTAGATGCTCTCATTGTGAGTATGGACTTGCTTCAAAGAGAGACAGTGTAAGTATTTCAGCACATGGCTGCTTTTTCTGAATGTTGAAAATAGGGCTGACCAACATTGTGAGCTGCTGTAAGTCCCCTTTGGGGTTGAGAAGGCGGTATACATATACCGCAAATAAATAAAATAAATAATAAATTTTCAGTACAGAAACATACTATGGCAAGACACCTTTTAAAATATCATTCTGCTGTGACACTATGTAATAGGAACACTTTAAAAAAGAAAGATAAGAAAGATCTGTTGAAGGATGTTGGCCAAAAAGAGGTAACATGCTTATAATGAAAATCAAAATTCCCCGTGCCTTACATAGGTTAGTAAACAGGTGAGGGAAGGTTTGTTAGTTAAATGGAGGCTATGGCAGTACTTTGAACTATCAAGATTCAGAAAATAATCAGATCAACAATACACTTTCCTGTTATTGAAGGGTAACAAGAATAAATCACCAATTCTGATCTTTCCTTTTCACCGTGTTCTGTTTTTGTTTGTTTGTTTGTTTGTTTGTTGTTTGACACTAGCTACTTAACTGTTTTTATGAAGATTCCTTGAACGACAGAAATTCAAACATTAAGTATGTAAGCTCGCTCTGTGTTTCAAGTTTAACCACTTGGTTTAAATTTGGTTTAAAAATATTCCCTGAACTCTTTCCTCATCACTTTACTTACGTTGCCTCTGTCTTCTATTGGGTGTTCACAAATCTCCCAACTAAACAGTATATGCAACCTGTCCTGACTATGTCAGTCTGGGCTCTGGCCCCATTCACACAACAGAATTTTAGTACTGTGTTTCCACTTTAATTTCCCTGGCAATCCTGGGTTTTCAGTTTATGGAGAAGCATTTCATAATAAAAATAATTTTTTATTTATATCCCGCTTTTCTCTCTAAATAAGACCCAAAGTGATTCACAACAGTTTAAAAAACAATACAGATCCAACATACATATAAAGATAATCTATAAAACCATAAGACCTAAATAAACATATATAAAAACATTGATCAAACACAAATACAATTGTTGTTGGAAACTCATCAATACAGGTGGTAAACTGAGCGCGACACACTGAATGTTAGCCTTCCTGTTGTTCCAAACTAAGTCTTTAGTTGCTTTTTAAAAGATGTCAGGGAAGGGTCTGTTTTAACCTCCTTGGGGAAAAAGTTCCAAAGAGTTGGAGCGGCCACCGAGAAGGCCCTCTCTCTTGTCACCACCAACCACACTTGCGATGGTGACAGCAACGAGAGGAGGGTCTTTCCGGAAGATCTTAATGTTCAGGCAGGTTGGTATGAGGAGATGCGGTCAGAGAGGTAAGCAGGAACCTGAACCTGAACCGTTTAGTGCTTTAAAGATCAAAAACAGCACCTTGAATCGGCCTCGAAACATATTGGCAGCCAGTGCAGGTGCTTTAGCAGAGGGGTAGTACACTCCCTGGGTCAAGCACCTGAATATTCATCGAAATAAAGGACACAATTTTACTACACCATTCTATATAATGAGACTTGAACAGCCACAAATTTTTCGTGTCCTGAAACCAAATCCCAGCAAATACTAAGGAAACATCTTACCTTTCTTTCCAGTTCAGAATAGCCAACAAGTTTTACAGCAACATGCCAAATGCATCATATTTCAGTTAGGCAATACATATTGTATATTGACTGTGGACTTTCGTTAAATATGTGTGGTCGAATATCTACGCCTCTATTTTTAAAGATCATTTCAGTATCACAGCTGTTTTTTATCTCTTGAGATTGATTGTGTTTTTCTTCCTTTAAGAGGGAAAAAATACGAGAAGCTACACATTGAGGTCTTTACTGACCTTGGCAGTCCCTTCAGTGAGGATCAACTGGATGTTATCATTGCTAACTTGAAGAAAACTGGGATCTCGCTTCAGTTTTTGTGAGTGTGCGGAAACCTATGATATCTGATTTCTACTTCAGGTTTTTCTCAAAACTGGAAATGCTTCTGCTCTGTCTCTAGCAGTGTAGTGGTATTTCTTAATTTTTTTGATTAGGCACTGTTGCTTGCAGTCTGCACAGGGGAAAAGCAGTAATAACTATATCCATTGCAATGAATTTTTTCCAACTGATGTAAATTATGCAAAGAATAAAACATCTGGCTTTGCTTGCCATCAGCAATCTGCCATTAAGAAAAATGATAATGGATGCATTGAAGTTGATGCAGTCTATGAAAAATAGTATCCAGGGGAGCACCTAAGTTGTCCAGCTGCAGCAAAACTAATAAGGATTACTTTGGTACTTCCAAGATGGAAATAGGTCTCTGATATCTCATATCAAATGTGCTGGTCATTAAGATGCCACTGCGTGGTTCTTGTGCCTTCAAAGAGGTGGTTCAGTATGTAGTGTGATTCACTGCACCTCCCTATCCCATTTGCCATACTGTGATAGTTTAGATCGGTTGAAGATCTACCACTGCATGGTGGAACACAGAAGCAAGCACCATCATTTTCAGCGGATCTTATCTCACAGAATCCAGAACAGCAGAAAATAAGCTTGCTTCCTTCCCTATGTGTCATCCTTTCAAATATTTCAACATGACTATCACATCCCCTCTCAGCCTTCTTTTCTCCAAGCTGAACATACCTCCCTCCCTCAGCCATCCCTCATAGGGCTTGGTTTCCAAACCTTTGATCACTTTGGTTGCCAATATGATCAAAAGTTTGAAATGATCAAAGCTTCAGGTAACTGCATAAAATATATGGACAAGGAGAAGCTGCTGCTGGCCTCTTGAGATAAATCACTTCTGAGCAGGTAGAATAGATTTGCACTAAAGCCAGGCTTTAGCACAGCTGGTTAACCACCAGCAGCAATAGATCACACCAGTCGAAAGGCTGGCTATTCAAACCCTGGGTCAGGGTGAGCTCCAGACCTTCAGCCCAGCTCACTGTCCACCTAAGCAGTTCAAAAACAGTGGTGAGTAAAGAAATTAGGCACTCCTTAAGCAGGGACCATAAAAAGGAAATAGCAGAAAATGCCTGCAGTCAAGGAGAGGAGAAAGTCTGTGATCAAGGGCTCTTCGTCATAGAGCAGTGGTTCTCAACCTGAGGTCCCCAGATGTTTTTAGCCTACAACTCCCAGAAATCCCAGTCAGTTTACCAGCTGTTTGGATTTCTGGGAGTTGAAGGCCAAAAATATCTGAGGACCCTAAGTTGAGAACCACTGTCATAGAGGATGAAGCGACAGCACTCCGCTGTGGCTGGAATCGAGTAGGTCCTCTGGGACACCGAAGTTGGGAAAAATGCAGATGTATACCTCTATCTGTTGTCTGTCCTATCTGTTTAACGGCATTGATTTTTTTGCTGAGTATGCTTTCTGTGATCCACCCTGAGTCCCCTTTGGGGTGAGAAGGCAGAATATAAATACTGCAAATACATAAATAAATAAATAAATAAATAAATAAATAAATATGGAGCTAAGGGAAAGGGAGCAAGCATTTAGCCCCTTTCTACTCCAGAGCATTCATCTGGTTTGTGTACACCTCTCTCTTGACTGCTGTTTCTTTAAGACATGCTTTTCTTGTTAAATATAGTTTGGGCCTTGCTTTTTGATCCAAGAGTTATTACCAAAGAGGAGGTGATTCGGATGCACTGTGCTAAACTTTTAATTTAGACTCATTCTGCAGGGGAAAGTACATCAGCTCTCAAAAAAAAGTTGCATCTTTTAAAGATCTTGTCTGGAACTAGTCATGTCATTAATGACTAATGGTGCAGCAGTAAATAAGCATCATCTGTGTGGGTTTGCTTACTAAGACTTGAGAATGACATTTAAAAGTGTATCAGAACAAAAGGAGAATTTCAGGCATCATTGCACATGCTTTCTTATTCAAAAAAGAAATAAATAGAAGCCATCATTTGAATTGATTTGTTGTTGGGCCTTGTGAATGAGGAACGTACACTGAAACTGTTTTTTAATTGCTTGTTTAGTTTGCCGTTTCCAATGAATGACGAAGATGGAAGCGGGGATAAGACGGATCGTGCTCATTCTCATAGGCCTCAAAACTCTTTTCCAAGAAAAGGGCTATCAGAGCAGCAGAAAAAAGGCCTCCAAATGGTGAGGAAGCTGATGTTTGCACTAGACAAAGAAGATGGACTGGAGGAGATTTACACTTTCAGGTAATCTTGATGTCCTTCTGCTTCTTATATTAGAAGATTTGCTTTTTACTTCACTTGCAAGACAAGACAAACTCCAGAAGTCTTATCTGGCTTAAGGTAAAGGTTGTCCCCTGACATTAAGTCTAGTCGTGTCCGACTCTGGGGGGTGGTGCTCACCTCCATTTCTAAATCAAAGAGCCAGCATTGTCCGTAGATGCCTCCAAGGTCATGTGGCCAGCATGACTACATGGAGCACCTTTATCTTCCTGCAGAAGCAGTACCTATTGATCTACTCACATTTGCATGTTTTTGAACTGCTAGGATGGCAGAATCTGGGGCTAACAGTGGGAGCTCACCCCACTCCCTGGATTCGAACCACCGACCTTTCAGTCAGCAAGTTCAGCAGCTCAACAGTTTACCCGTTGCACCACTGGGGGCTCCGACCATTATATAATAGAGATCAATTATATACAGAGACCAATTATAGGTTGGCAGAAGCTGGGGCTAACAGCGGGAGCAGCAAGTTTAGCACCTCAGTGGTTTAACCCGCTGTGCCACCAGGGGGACCTGGCTTAAAAGACACTCCCTTAATTTATGGTGGAACTTTACTCCAGTGTAAGGATGTGTAGGTTCACAAGGCAGATGTTCATCATCCTTTTTGCCATGCATTTTTAAACCATAGGAGAGAATATAATTTGAGTCAGAGAAGCAGTAGACAGGAAGGGAGGCGTACTTTGAATCTGACTAATATAGTTTACCCTATTAGCAAACAGGGCTATTTTCTTGTCACCCTGTGACAAAGTGTGCATCTGCACCGTCTATTTAATGCACCACTTTAACTGTCATGGCGTAATGCTATGAAATCCAGAGACTTGAGAAACTGCAAGTCGCTTCTGGTGTGAGAGAACTGGCCTTCTGCAAGGACATTGCCCAAGAGACGTCCGGATGTTTTGATGTTTTACCATCCTTGTGGGAGGCTTCTCTCACCTTCCCATATGAGAAGCTGGAGCTATAACACAGGAGCTCACCCCAGTCTCTGGATTCGAACTGTCAACTTTTTGGTCATCAGTCCTGCCGACACAAGGGTTTAACCCATTGCACCACCACAGGCTTCTTTTAAATGAATAAAAAATAAAGAACATTTTCTCCAGCTTAATTTGTTTAACATGAGTTTGTATTTATACTTCAGTGGTTTGTGAAGCCATTCACTGTGCTTCCCACATAGTTTTTCTCTATGTATATATTTTTTTCTTTATTTAGAGAGAGTCTGGAGCAGCTTTCAATGTTTAAGAAGGTTGAACGGAGACCTATGCCTTGGCCCTGCCAGCTTACAATTGGTTCTAAACTATCCATAAGAATTGTGGCTTATAAAGCAGTAAGTTATTACGGGTGTATTGTCACCATTCTATCCCAGCAGATAACATAAGTGAAGACGTATCAGCATGAATGCCAGTAAAAACAGAAACTCTGATTTGAGGTTTAATTGATTGTAAATGCAATTTTATATATTTATTTCTTCATTCATTATTTAATTATTTAAAATATATCATACCATGTTGGACAGCACTGATAAACACAGTACAGCTAAAACATTAACAGGTTTTTTAGTCTATAGTTTATTTATTCTAGTTGTGCTCTGAATGTTTTTGTTAAATCAGTATTGAGATTGGGTTGCTGTGAGTTTTCCAGGCTGTATGGCCATATTCTAGAAGCATTCTCTCCTGATGTTTCTCCCACATCTATGGCAGGCATCCACAGAGGTTGTGAGGTCTGTTGGAAATTAGGCAAGTGGGGTTTATATATCTGTGGAATGTCCAGGTTGGGAGAAAGAACTCTTGTCTGCTTGAGACAAGTGGCAATTGGCCACCTTGAATTGGCATTGAATGGTCTTGCAGCTTCAAAGTCTGACTAGTTGCTGCCTGGGGGATCCTTTGTTGGGGGGTGTTACTGACCCTGATTTATTCTTGTCTGGAATTCCCTGTTTTTAAATTGTTCTTTATTTACTGTTCTAGATTTTAGAGTTTTTTTAATACTGGTAGCCAGATTTTGTTCATTTTCATGGTTTCCTCCTGTTGAAATTGTCCACATGCTTGTGGATTTCAATGGCTTCTCTGTGTAGTCCTGACATGGTGGTTGTGAGAGTGGTTCCAGCATTTTTGTGTTCTCAAATGTGTCCAGGTTGGTTCATCAGTTGCTGTGCTATGGCTGACTTCTCTGGTTGAATTAGTCTGCAGCGCCTTTCATGTTCCTTGATTCGTGTTTCGGTATTGCTGTGTTTGGTGGTCCCTATGTAGACTTGTCCACAGCTGCATGGTATATGGAAGATTCCTGCAGAGGTGAGAGGTTCCCTCTTGTCCTTTGTGAACGTAGAATTTATTGGATTGAGATTGACAGTGGTAGTAAGAAAAGAATATTTCTGATATTAGTTTAAGTTTTGTCAGCACAATGCCAATTATTTTTTCACTCCCATTTGGAAAAGGAACGTGGGTACTCAGGAAAGTTGCAGTTAATATGCATGTTAAAATCAAAGAGATTATTTCTTAAATTAAAGAGATTGTTTCTTAAATTAAAGAGATTGTTTCTTAAATTTTGATACCAAGTTCACTGAGGAGAGAACGAAAAAATCCTGGATGGTTGTAGATGCCAAGACATCAAAAAAAGATGATCTGCAAAAAGAAACAGTTTATTGCTTAAATGATGACGACGAAACAGAGATTCAGAAGGAGGATGTTATTCAAGGTATGGTTTTTGTGCTTTGTGCATTGAACTTTCCCAAAGCATTGTGTGAATTTGTTCAAGTAGTATGTTTTCATTTGACATTTCTTCTGTTTCTGTCTTTAAGATCTTTCCTTTGACTTGATTCAAACATAACGGGGAGCCATTGTTTACTGCTGTGAAAATGTCTCAGAACATTCCTTCCTTGTGTTCTTTACACACAGAAGTGGAAAAACACAAAAATTTTAAATATATATTTTTTCTTTTTAACCTAACACCTCTCCAGGAATCTCTAAATTCTTCAGAGGCTGTATCTGCAATGCAGAATTAATGTGGTTAATAATAATATAATAATAAATTATTATAATATTACCCTGCCACCATCTCTCTGAAGTTACTCGGGATGGCTAAAATAGCTCTCCAAAGTGCCACACATACAACAACAACAACAACAATAATAATAAAACTTTATTTATACCCCGCCTCCATCTCCCCCAAGGGGACTTGGGGCGGCTTACATGAGGCCACGCCCATTAGTACAGTAAACAATATAACACAAAAGCATAACAAAAAATCAGAAAATAAAATACAATAAAAACATAAGAAGACATCCATAAAGTATCAGATAATAAAATTAAAATTCCAAATTCATAAAACACAGTTGTAAGTAAGGTGCCACTTGCACTCCCATGGCTCAGAGCTATGGAATCATGGGAGTTGTAGTTTTACAAGGTCTTTGGCCCTCTGTGCTGGTTCCTTACCAAACTATAATTCTCAGGATTCCATAGCATTGAGCCATGGCAGCTAAAGGGGTTTCAAGCTGCACTAATTCTACAGTGTAGATGCACTCCTAGAAAGAACAAGATACATAATCTTATCTACAAATAATCAAATCTGTAAATGTTAAGTGCACCAGCCAATGGTAGAAAGCTATCAGTTTTGAGCCACGTATACTCCCTCTGTTTCTACCCATGCCAGGAGTCACATCATGGGTTGAGAGTAAGATCAAAACACAAGTTCTCTGAGTTCATTCCTAATGAGGAACTGTTTTGAATTTTAAAACTTTTTTCAGTGTTTCCTTCGTGCATGCGAAGACAAAAATCAGAGTCATGTTTTGTCTCATTCTCCCAACAGCAACCCATGGTTTTTCACTGGATCTAGACAAAGTCTTTTCTATGTAGATGAATCCACCCATACTTATTTTAGGTTGGACACCAATTTTAGCCAGTAGAAAAATATTCCATTATCTTAATATTGTTTGATCATATGCATTTGCTAGAACCACTGGTGGTGCAATGGTTTAAAACCTTGTGCTGGCAGGATTGCTGACCAAAAGATCAACGGTTCAGATATGGGGAACGGGGTGAGCTCCCCTCTGTCAACTTCAGCTTCTCATGTGGGGACATGACAGAAGCCTCCCAGAGGATGATAAAAAATCTAGGCATCCCCTGCCGATGGTCAATGCCTCGCAGACAGTCCAATCTGTCACACCAGAAGTGACTTGCAGTTTCTTAAGTCACTTCTGACACAAAAAAAGATGCATTTGCTTATGCACTTTCCCTTAATTTTTTGATCCGCTTTTGTTCTGCCTGGTGTAGTTTTGCTGCACAGCATTTCACCCTTTGTTTCACTAAGCCTTAATTCAGTCCATTTTTCCCTGATTGTCTTCACTTGCTGAAGAATCTGAGCATTGACATGGATAATCCTACAATCAGTGTCAAGCAACCCATGTGAGCTCTGCTGTGCCCCTCTGTACCCATTGCCTGGAGCCTAGAACAGTTACTTCTTTGGCTAGAGCTCCTAGAATCCCTCCAGCCACGTCACCAATGGCTTGCTAGCTGGAGACTTACAGAAATTATAAGTAATCCATAAAAATACTTTTTCCAAGCCCTGACATTTACAGTTTAATTGGTGCTGGAGGCCAAAGGGTGCTGCTGTTTCTGATCTTTATTTTCTCCAGACTTATCTCCTTAGGCAACTTGGAGTCAGTTTCCTTTTCTTTTGGTTAGCTTTCATGTTGTACTAGAATGGCTTATTTAATTTGACCTTTTAGAAAACTTTTGTGATAACAACTAACTTCTTCATCCACTCCTGTTTCTTGGGACGCAGATGGCAGTCAAGTTTATAGGTAGCAGCATACAGTCAAGGCACTGTAGTCAGTAATATTGTATCATTCTTTGGAAAATAAGACCAGGAAGGGTGCAGAACAAATGCCGTTTGACACCACTTTAACTGCCAAGGCTGTGGGATCCTTGGAATTGTAGTTTTACAAGATTTCTGCCAAAGAGTGCCAGTGCTTCACCAAACTACAACTCCAGAATTCCACAACATTGAGCCATGCACTTGAAGTGGTGTCAAACTGTATTTATTCTCCAGTATAGATGCACCTGAATATGCGTTATTTCAATGGGTGAAGAAACCAAGACTTCTTATGCGTCTAGATGTTTAAGAACAATAATCATTCCTGCTGAAATATTGATTGTTTTTCCTGCTACGTTGATTCTAGCTTTCTGTGACGTAATTTATTTATTTATTATTATTTCTTTCTTTCTTTAAAATGTTTATATTCCGCCCTTCTCACCTCAAAGGGGACTCAGGACGGAGCACAAGATACAAATGGCAAATATTCAATGCCGGGACGTAAATAGATTATACACATACATTAGCATTAAAATTCTTTATCCCATCATTAAAATCCACTGTATAAAACCATCTCGATCATCCACATCAAATCTTGTTGGCCTGGTAAGGTTTCCCATTACTGCCTTATTGCACTGTCCCAAAAGCTTGGTCACACAGCCAAGTTTTTCTATCCTTCTGAAGGACAGGAGGGAGGGAGCTGATCTAATCTCACCAGGAATGGAGTTCCATAGCCAAGGGGCAATCACTGAGAAGGCCCTCTCTCGTTTGTGACAGTGGCGGGATGGAGAGCAGGGCCTCCCTGGAGGATCTTAATCTCCGCAATGATTCATAGAGGGAGATGCATTCAGACAGATAAATTGGGCTGGGGTCGTTTAGGGCATTATGGGCCAAGGCCAGCACTTTGAATTGTGCTCATTAGCAAACTGGCAACCAGTGGAGCTGACATAACACAGGAGTTGTATGCTCCCTGAATGCTTCTCCAGTTATTAACCTGGCTGCCTCTTGTTGGACTATTTGAAGTTTCAGAACAGTCTTCAAAGGCAACCCCACATAGAATGTGTTGCAGTAGTCTATCCTCGATGTAATGATCGTGGACCACCTTGGCCAAGTCTTACTTCCCAAGGTATGGGCGCAACTGGCGCACAAGCCAGGAGGACTCCCAAGCTGAGAATCTGCACCTTCAAGGGGAGTGTAACCCTATCCAGCACAGACTGTAACCCTATACCCTGTTCGACCTTGCCAGTAGGACCTCTGTCTTGTCTGGAGTCACCTTCAGTTTGCTCGCCCTCATCCAGACCGTCACAGCGGCCAACTTGGTGCTTTTTACATTAATACTGCTTTAAAAAAATACTGTATATTTTTTCAAAGTTTCATTATAAGCTGACTCAAATGTTTTTGTGAAATGATTGAGCAGAATTCTTCCAAATAGAAGTTAAATCCTCACCATACAGTTTTTAAGCACACTAAATAAAAAAGATGGCAAAATACAGAAAACGTGTCTGCTCAGCAGGGCAGTTTCTTTGTAAAAGCACTGTTGCCGTTTCGTGGGAGATTGGTGTGTTTTTATCAAGACATTTTGTTCTATGAACTCCTCAGAGACGCAGAGTGCTTCTTTGAATGTCCTGCTGATTTGTTATGTCACTGATTTTCTGTTTGGAAAAAAAATACCAAAAAGCAAAGCACAGGTTGAGAAAGGGAGAAAAGAAAGTCTGGCAACTTTAGGGAGACTGCTTTTGCATTTGATTTATTGGGACAAGCATTAAAATGAAATATAACAAGGCACAAGGAATGGAAGGAAGAAGGAGTGTTACTTGAACATATACATTCAGAGCAGTGAAACATTGAAAATGGCTTTGGGCCCTCATGCTTTCTGAAATGGAGAGAAAGTTTATCAGAACATTAATAAAAAAAAGACTATGAAAGTTGCATGATTATTGGATTCCAGAAGTAGGGAACTCCACTTGGAGAAGTATTTATTTCTTTAATATTTATATACAAGATATCTCAAAAGTTACCACACATAGAGAAAATAGGAAATTGTAGCTAAATGTACCTTTATTTACAAAATACTCGTTACAAAATTGTGTAAAACTCTTCCAATGTAAAAATATAAATACAAAAATATATCCTATATGATATAAGTTTGTTAAATTTTTCTACATGTGGAAACTTGGGACACCTTTTAGTACCCCCCACTTCACAAAGGTCCCCAATGTGGTATACAACATGTCTGCTGAGGTTTGTTTCTCTAGGCTAGATGCATTCACCTTGTGAATTAAAATGTCTTTGGCTGGTTCCTTGCAAAACAATCAAGTGTCCTTTGGATCAGAGCTCAAACAGCTAAATAAAGAACAACACAAGAAAGCTGGGGAATTCCAGACAAGAAACAATCAGGGCCAGCTAATCACCTCCCAACAAAGGAGTCCCCCAGGCAGGAAGCCTTGAAGATGCAATGCTGTTTGGTGCTAACCAAAGTGGTCAGTTGCAACATTCACACCTGTCTCAGACCGACAAGAGTTCTTCCTCCCACTTTGGACATTCCACAGAAAAATAAACCCCACTTGCCTAGTTAACAGACCCCCTCAACCTTTGAGGATGTCTGACATAGATGAAAGCAAAACACCAGAAGAGAATGATTCTGGAACATGGCCATACAGCCCAAAAATTGTGAATTCTGCTATAAATGTTCAGCAGTGGAACTCTCTGCCTCAAAGTGTACTGGAAGCTCCTTCCTTAGAGACTTTTAAACAGAGGCTTGATGGCCATCTGTCTGGGATACTTTGAATGTGCTTTTCCTGCATGGCAGGGGGTCGGACTAGATGGCCCATGTGGACTCTTCCAACTCTATGATTCTATGACTGATGAAAAATTCAAGGTTCATTTAGTAGAGAAAGGAAAACCCCAGGGAGGGTAGGCTGTTGATGCCATTTCCCATCCAGACATCCAAGAAGATCAGAAGGATACACCATGGTGGAAAGAGTAGAAGGAATCTGTGCTTTTAGGTTTCCTCAGGATTGACTAAGTTCTTGCTTTTTGCAACTCTATTCAGAGAAAGGGTTGGTTCCTTTGTTGATAAGATTTACCTACGCACATTTACCCATGGATAAGTCCATCCAAAGTTTTTAGGTTTGCTTTTTGATTAGCATTTCTAGACTTATGCATGAGGATATGGGATACTTTGAAAAGATGTTATTCTCTCATTCCACAGGGTTTTGCTATGGGAGTGAGATCATTCCTTTCTCTAAAGTGGATGAGGAGCAGATGAAATACAAAACAGATGGAAAATGTTTTGCTGTCCTGGGGTTCACTAAAGCATCTCAGGTATGACCTATAACTTGGAAATGCTGGCTGAGTTGCAGGCTGAGTTGAATTTAGGTGAAGTGAAATTAAAAGTTTGGTTTGCCTGTTTTGCATGGCTGCAGAGTTGCTGGGTGGGATTGCTATTTGTCAGAGCTTGACATTTGAATGTTGCTTCTTGCTCTTCTAGGTAGCAAGCCAAAAACAAAATTATAGATCACATAGAACGATGCACATATGACGAGTGGAGTGCCACAGGATTCTGTCCTGGGCCCAGTTCTGTTCAACATCTTTATTAATGACTTCAATGAAGGTTTAGAAGGCGTGATCATCAAGTTTGCAGATGACACCAAATTGGGAGGGATAGCCAATATTCCAGAAGACAGAAGCAGAATTCAAAACGATCTTAAAAGATTAGAGAGATGGGCCAAAACTAACAAAATGAAGTTCAACAGTGACAAATGCAAGATACTCCACTTAGGCAGAAAACATGAAATGTAAAGATACAGAATGGGGGATGCCTGGCTTGACATCAGTACTACATCCAATTCTGGGCACCGCAATTGGCAAGCTGGAATGTGTCCAGAGGAGGGTGACCAAAATGATCAAGGGCCTGGAGAACAAACCCTATGAGAAATGGTTTAAAGAGCTGGGCATATTTAGCCTGAAGAAGAGAAGGCTGAGAGGAGACATGATGGCCATGCATAAATATGTGAGGGGAAGTCATAGGGAGGAGGGAGCAAGCTTATTTTCTGCTGCCCCAGAGACTATGATGCGGAACAATGGCTTCAAATTACAAGAAAGGAGATTTCACCTGAACATGAGGAAGAACTTCCTGACTGTGAGAGCAGTGGAACTCTCTGCCCCGGAGTGTGGTGGAGGCTCCTTCTTTGGAGGCTTTAAAAAGAGGCTGGATGGCCATCTGTTGGGGGTGCTTTGAATGCGATTTTCCTGCTTCTTGGCAGGGGGTTGGACTGGATGGCCCACGAGGTCTCTTCCAACTTTCTATGATTCTACATGTCTTTGCACCCATTTAGGGCCACATTCCCACAGGGGTAATCTGATGATAGACCAGAGCTATAAGTAGATGGGACATTCTCCTCTTTCTCTTTGCAACTTCACTTTCTCTTTACTTCTCACTTGCTCCTCTTTTATCGTTCCATTTCTGCATGGCACAAAATAGTATCTACATTTGAACAGTAGCTTGAAAGGTTTTCAAAAGCCAGACAGAGTGAACTGTTGTGGGTTTTTTCTTCTTCTTCTTCAACTTGTGGGAGAAGGCTTGATGGGAGCAATAATGAGAAACTGTGAATGCTACTGAATGAAGGAGAATGTATGAGATAGTTAACTGAGTGATGAGAGAAATTGAGAATTTTAAATCTGAGTACTGTTAAAATTAACCTAGAACATGTGCAGCTATAGGAAAGGGCACTGGAATAAAACGTAATGCTATATTTGATCTTTTCAGTGTGGAATTTAATTTGCATGTTGGATGGCAGTAACTTTACAGAGTTCAAAATGGCATTGGCGTAAGACCAAGTTGTGGCAATGTTCATTTGTAGGTCCTGAGGCATCGCTACATGGGGAATCAGGTTCTGAAAGTCTTCACAGCAAAGGATGATGAGGTGAGGCCAACTGACTGTCAGTTGAATCTGAAAGCTGAAATTTTTATATTTTGCTCTTTGAAGTGTTGAAAAGCTGGCTTAAGGAGAAGATACTGAAACAAGCTGAAACTTCCCATTCTTAAAAGTGTATAAAGAAAGCAAGTAAAAAGCATTATAACCTACAAGGGGAAAACTGGAAGCGGAGGGGTGTTGGTCTAGATGATTAAAATGCCAGAATAAATAGATTTTTTTAATTTTATTTTGTTCATTTATATTGTGGCCTTTATATGGAGTTTTCTGGCAAAATGCAATAAAACCAATTTTAAAAAATTGAAACAAAATAAATAAATACATTAAAATGTTAATT